ATCTACTGCTGGTGCTGCAGTATAAACCAACTTGCACGCGCAAGTCATCGCCGCACCTACTGACAGTTTCTGGCGAGCTAACGAGCTCAAAACATGTGCCTTAATTGTTTTACCGGAATAAATTTGATCAAGACAAAGGTGACCAAATATTCGGAATTTAATAACGTAAAATTTCAACTGCTTGCGGTGAATGCAGTAAGAAACCGACCTAAAGGGATCAAATTTAATCGATAAAGAAAAACAGAGCATGCGGTTCACACCATGCCCACCTGCGCGTTAGATCAACATCCTGCGTTCTTATATACCTTTCACGGGTTCTTGTTGGGCAGTTAAGCTTACTGATACGAAATGACTATGAACAGTTTAATGAGATGTTACAACGCTGTATATTGGTTGTCGAAGGGAAGTCAGAAGTCCTAGTTCTCTTCTTTTTCGGATTCCTTTAGTTTTGATTCCTACTTTTGCGCTATTAACTTTCTTTAACCTTTAAAAGGACAAAACGGAGGAGACAGCTCAGGATAGTCTTGCGGTGCTGGAGGAGTTCGTAAAAACGTACGTTTCCTGTCACCCTCTTCCTCATCCCATATATCCAAATTCCCTGTACCCTGGTTAATTCAATGCTATCTATAAACTTGAATCCAACGGGTATCCTCGACTAAGATACCGTTCACCGTCTCTTGCTAATAAATCCCCTGAGAAGCCAGGAGTCACAGCAAGTTCACCTATATATGAGTTGTTTAAGGGATTTCCTCATCTTTTCTCTACTAGTACGGCGAAGTTTCTGAAGAAGTCACATTTCGTCATTGTTTACTTTTCTTGGAACACTTTCTTGGACCAGGCTTAGGCGCTGCAACCTTAAAAAGATGATTGTAAAGCCAAGGTTTTCTCTCCCCGAATTCTCGGGCATTTTGTAGACGACAGCTGCTATCGACTGCTTGGGTCTGCTTTGAAATTTGGGCGCTTTTAGATCCATACTTGTCTAGTTTTGTTTTTACATGTCCGATTCCGATTAATCTACGTTTTGCGACTCATTCACGTTTAGTGTGATATTCATTGTCTCAAGAAACAATAATTAAAATCACCATTTGAGCTTCTAAAATAGTACTTACCTCAGGCTCGCAATACTTATGCGATACGCGTTTTTACATCCTGCTACCTCATATATTTCATTCACCGCCCTCTTAACTCCACACGATAATCTGTTTTAAGAATTTTCACACACATTATGTACACGCACAGGAGACATCATTTTGTATTTACTGCTTAAACGTGGCCGTTTAAGCTTGATTTTAAAAATCCTTACTTTGGTGACGTTTCGGAACAGGTATTCAGCTAGGTCTGTACCCTTGGTTTCTCTACGCCCATATACATATGCTTACAATAAATCCATTTTCATATTATGGGTGAATTTTGTATCGAGACGTCAGTCGGCAATTGTGCGTGTAAAAAACTCTTCGGTTTTGGAAGCTTCAACATATATTCAGACTTCATGTACAGTGAAAACAACTGACCATATTAGTACCCTCGATGCTGTCGCGGGCTGTGAACAGGGATTTTTCCCCTTCTTGCTATTGGCCCTCAGCCAGTCCAATCAACGCGCGAGGATTGTAGCCTTTATCTCGTCGAAAAATAGGCTGGACCGTGGCTCACTAGACTTGATAAGGGACTCAATGGCGTATCTCTTCGCCCGCCCCTCTAATGCAGAGATTTAAAGTTACACCATCTCGTAATACCCCATACAGTGGGGCCTTGGGTGACGGGCAGCTTCATCTATGAGCATTTTAGGTAACGAGCGAGCCACTCGCAGAAAAATTGTTTCGATTGGCGAGCCTTCGCTCAGATACCGAGTTGCCAGTGCATGTGTGTGTCTGTGTCCGCAGTTGAGGCTTGCTCCCAGGGCGTGGGTCCTCGGTCGCCTGCAGTTCCTCATTAAACTGATGTCGTTTGATTAGATTCTATCCGCAAAACGAACGTTTCAGCTGACGGGCTCCGTGTTGGAACAGATTAAACTCGTTGATCGAGGCTTCGCTGCAATTTGTGAGCTTATTATATGCGCTGGCTTTGCTAAACTGGTACACAGACACGCACGAAGGCATTTTGTGTCATGGTCTGTAACTACTTATTCATAGTATCCGAGGGCTCGTAGCGAACCTTTTCTGCTAGCCGTTATACCGTTCACCTCCTGTGGACACACTGGGCAGGTTAACAGACAGACCCTGTCTTCTCTGACTTCCTGTCATTTCCATTTTGATAAGGTCTCATGAATCCTTGTCTACCTTGTAACTCAATACACCAGTATCGCTTTATTGCCCCTTATTACAGACAGCAGCAGCTAGAAAACCTCTGTAAGCGCCAAAAGTTTACGAAAGCCCTCCACCTGGCCGTCAAGTTGGACAAACCTCAACGCGCTTTCGAGATACTCCAAGGCAAGTTCCGTTTTACTTGAATTGTGCCCGTTATGCAGTACGTGTGTTTGTGAACCTATTTCTTGGTTCTCAACAACCTCAGAAAGCTTTGAAAATTTAGAGTAAAATTTACTGCGTCAATTACATTTGCTCTTCAGAGTGTTGTATACAGTCATGGGAATGCAAGAAAGGGTTTGCTACGCTGGATTTATAATCGTTCCTACCCGGTGTACAGCTTTGCTTGGTAGCAGTCTTATTCTAACGAGAATTGTCCAAACACGAAGGTTGTTCCGAAACAAGTTTGTCAATCTTTAACAGAAGAACGTTCAGAACTAGGTAATAGTAATTTATGAAGTTTGCCCCCCTCCCATGGGGCTCGTCTTGCCACGTATTGAACGAATCTGCCCATGTGCCATGGCCACTGCTCTTCCTCCAGGGCAAGGGGTTTCAACTTTCCTATAAGTTTCCTAATCGTACCGAAATTACATTCTGACTAACGGCCACACTGACGTGCATGTGACAGAGCGATTTGACTTCAGACTCAGTTCCCCTCAGGCATAATTGCTAAAGCAATTTTTAAATGGATATGAATTAGGAAATATTGTCGAAATAGAACCAAAAATCAGTCTCAAACGACACGATTGTCAACTGTGCCACACTAGTCACCTCGTTCCCTTTTTATCATTAGTCAGTAGCATCTTTTATCTGCCTATTTTGTGCATTTCCTAACCGTGTGTGTTCAAGAGACATTTGGATAATGACCTGTTAAAGGTCATCTAGAACTCCCCATATCCCATCTAATGGGGCCTACTGCTGTAACTGTAAAAATATTACTACCTTGATTTCAAAGAGTCTTTTTGTTTATAAGAGGCTTGCCACTCTGCTGAACATTTGATCGTGCAAATGCTGTAAATGTGTTGTTAACTGTTATTTCGCGAGTTCCCCCACCTTTTTGACCTCCATGTTTGTTTATTAGTTTTATGCATTTTGCACTTTAAAACTACCTATAGAAAGTTTTGCAAACGAATTGCCTTTCATACAGACCTGTACCGTTTCAAGAGAGTTTTCAAGGGCCTCTGTCATTTACTCCAAATACACTGATTGGCATGCCGTGGTTTCGCCAGCGACTATTCTTACGTGAGACAACAGTTCAGAATTTCGTACGGAGTAAACCGTCCACTTTTGTGTCTTTCGATTTATGCTGATGAGGCCTAGTGCTTATGACACTTAAGGTTCACTCAGTATCCATGCTCCTACAGGACCCCTGCTTAAGCTAACGAACGTCAACTTAGGCAAGCGTGAAGTCTTATGTTGGTATCTTTCATAGCCGCTGAAAAATCGAAAGCTCACGACTGCTACGATTATGCGTCAGTGCAGGACTATTCTTATCCCCTCTTCCAGGTTCTTTCTAACTTGCAGCGGGAGTCTATTCTCACAACAGCCATGAGCTCTACAGGCTACTTCAATGCTAATCGCAGCCCCTCCTGTGATGCATATCCGCCCAGATCTCGGCTGTGTACTCAAATATGCGCTGCACCGCCACTCTTCTTTCATTTTCCTTGTAGCTTAAATGGTTCAAACGATTAAAAGATGATCTTCGGCCTCCTCCCTCCGCGCCCAGTCCTTGCTAATTTCTCCGTTTTTTTTTCATTTAGAGATAGACCTGCTCGA